GGGGTTACTGAGATGTTGGCTGGCAGACCCTGATCAAGCCATCAGGGCCTACAGGTTGGGTGCAGCTCCTGCGGTGAGTGTCTGCCCCCTGATGGTGACCGGTGGGTGGATCCACCATTTGGTCCAATTGCATATTATCCTTTTATAGGATTTTTAAAAAATTATATATATATATATTTCAGAGAGAAAGGGAGAGGGAAAGAGAGAGAAACATCAATGCTGAGTTAAAATCATTGATTCGCTATCTCCTGCACATCCCCAACTGGGGATTGAGCCTACAACCTGGGCATGTGTCCTGACCGGAAATGGAACCATGGCCTGTTTTATAGGTCCAGTGTCACCCCCTGAGCCAGAGCATGTATCTCACTACTATTTTGGTTGATGAAGCTATTTCACCTGGTCCACCTATATGGCTTTCACAGATTGCATGGGTCACCATCCTCATGTGCTCAGGAAAGCTAACTCTGTTCTCTGTTTTGTTTGAGAAATTTGGGAGCAGCCTGCGCTTGTACGAGGTCTTATTTCCTTTCACTCTGACTAGTTGCCATATGGACCTGACTCAGTGTTGTCCCCAGAGAACATCATCAGTGTTCAGCGAGTAGCTTATAGAATAACTACCTTTCCCAGGGACAGGCTTTTTCTAGGTAACAGTGATAGATGTTTTGAGTGGCTAAGTCACGGAATCAAGAACTGCCAGGCTCTTGTCCCTTTGGTTTGTAAAATAGTGAAGGACTTTCTAAGTCTTCTTTAACTTAGGTGTTCTATTTACTGTCTGTGGGAGTTTATAAGCAGATTTGGGTTCTGTAAGCATCAGGAGGTGAACCAATTTTATGGGCATCTCAAACTTCCTCTGCCTATGGGAGAATGACATGGTGCAGAAATTAGCAGTTTAGGCCAGCTTTTCATTGCTGCGCTATTTTCCCAGCTCTCATATTAAGCCTGATGCTATGAGTTTTAGGAGAGTTTCAGGAGATCACTCCAAAGAGTGGCTAGCTGTGCCAACCTCAGTTCCATATGGAAAAAAACATGAATTATTTTCCATTTTTGTGGGGGAGATCTCTTGCCCAGGTCTTACAAGGATTATTCGCCCCAATGCCTATAATTCCATGGGTGATTATCACTGGTTGGAGGACCATAGGGATGAGGGGAGCCATGATTGCTACAGAACCACTGGCCTACATGGTGTTGGGAGAGATTGCTGCCATCGAGATGGAATGAGCCTCTTATAAATGTGCATTCAGAACTGTTCTGCGGAAAACACTGCAGGGTGGCATGTACACAGATCTGAGAATCTCCACACATGTTTACGAGTATTTTCTGTGGCCTCTGAGAATTTCACATCAGAGCCATTGGTGCCTTGGCACAAAAAGAATGATAAAGAAAAGGGGTACCCTGGCTGGCTTGGCTCAGTGGATAGAGCATTGGCTTGCGGACTGAAGGGTCCTAGGTTCGATTCCTAGTAAGGGCTTATGACCAGGTTGCGGGGGTCAGTCCCCAGTAGGGGCAGTGTAGGAGGCAATTGATCAGTGATTCTCATCATTGATGTTTCTATTCTCTCCCTTCCTCTCCGGAATTAATAAAAATCTATTTGTAAAACAGGGGGTATCTCTAAGTCAGGATGTGACTTGTGAACCAGGGAGCATTCCTATTGGTTTGGGTGAAAACTCTTCATTGTTTGCTGTTTGCTGTCACTGAGGCAAGCCTCTCTTTCATGGGGCATGAGAAGAGGGATTGAATATCAACTTGTCAAATCTGTTTTCCAAAAAAAAATGGGACATGCAAATTTCTTTTACCTTGAACCAATTTTAAAATGGTTTCATTAATAACTGACATTGTGAAAAGCCACAGGCAGCGTGGCTTTCGGGTTCAAAAGCTTGGAGAAAGAGCTGACATGCAAATTAAAACACAAGACAAGAAATATGAATTTGGAATTATGAGAGAAGCCAGGGGAAAGCTTAGTTGTAGTAGTCAAGCCATTCCTGTCTGCTTTTAGTTACTAGAATACACAATTGCCTTTTAGGAATGCAGACAGACATATCAATGGTAGTAAACAGTAAGCTTATCAGGTTGGGGGAGTTTGCTTTAAGCCATTGAGTCAGCAGTAGGTAATCAAATGCTAATATTCACCCTATGAATATCAAAGAGTCCAAATTCAGCCTTCTGACTGGACTTCTCGCATTTATATTAATTACTATTGATCTTGGTTTTCAGCATGATATGTCAAGTACAAAATTTGAGGAACCTATATATGCATTAACGAGGGTAAATGACAATAAGTCATTTTTGAATCTCTCTGCCCTTAATAGCTTTTCACGGAACCACTAATTTACATTCCATCTTAATAGATAACTGCAATTTCTGAACTTTATATGATGGGAATCTGAGGTGTTTTGTGTTTTTTTTTTGCTCTTTACATTGCATAAATGTTTAGAGATTTATTAATGATATATCTGTAGCTCACCTTTTTTGTGGAGAAATGTTTTTATCTTCGAATTTAGCATGCTTTATTCATTTGCTATGCTTATTTCTAATTTCTGACTGTATTTAAACTGCTACAAACAATTTTTGTAGAACTCTTTATGAGGATATGTTTCATTTACCCTTGTCAATAGTTTTGAATTGTTGGATAGGTGAATGTTTAACTTATAGATAGGTGCAAGTAGTGATTGACACTGATTGGCTGCCGGGGTTCTTGTTCCAGCATCTAAAAGGGCTCAATCTGGAGAAGGGCTGGTGTAACTTAATAAAGAGTCCAGGGACGAAGCATAATTTTGAAAGGCATTTGGGTGTCAGAGTAGCCTAGCTAAAGAAACTAAGTTCTCCTCATCTCAGGACCCTGTTACAGTTAAGCCCCCCTTATAAAATAAAATAAAGGCAACTGGCTAACATAGAATAAGGAAGAAGGTCACACTCCAGTTTCCAAGGCTAGCACAATGCTTCCTCTTAACCTCTGAATGTCCCTCTCAGGTATGTTGGCAGTTACTGGGGAAATGGAACCAACTGTGGTCGAGGGTAGTCTAGGGTACGGGGCAAGTTTATTGGTAGTCTAGGGTATGGGGCAAGTTTATTAGTAGTTGGAGCAACGGGGCAAAGTTGATTAATAATACCTTGGTAACGTTGATTAATAACACCTTGGTAACGGGGCAGTATTGATTAATGTAGCCCTGGCTGTATCCCAAGTAACTTTGTGTATGTTTAGCCAACCGTTTGATAGTTTCTGTGTATAAAAGGCTGGCCTAGAACCAGGTTCAGGGCTGACGTAGGAAAAAACACCTACGGCAGTCACTGGCCAGTTTTCAATAAAGCCTTGCTTGCTGCTTAAGACCTAATTGGAGTCGGTGGTCTTAATCTTTCGCGAACGGTGGTCCACAACAACTCCTCTCTTTTTAACACAATTTGTCCTAATGCGAGGCAGAGATATACACTTCAAAGGGTAGGGTTTCCATATACACAAGCATTGTGAACATGGGGGAATTGGCCTACGGCTGTTCAGGTGTTTGGCCAGTAGGAGGCAATAACATGTAGATTAAGATGCCCTGAGCTGTCTGGCAGCAAGCAATCATCCCTTTTCAGGTTTGGGGAAATGCCCTCAGCCATTCCCAACAGGTGACAACATATGTGACTCAGCCCTTGGGGAGTCCCCAAGTTCCATCAACCTTTCGATGAAACTCTTGCAATTATGATGCTGAAATTGGCTTCCGGCAATTGGCCTGTGTGCATTTTCCAGCAGCGAATGAGGGATTCAATTCCTCTTCATATTAGAGAATACTTGGTTTGGTCAATCGTTTTTTATTTAGACACTTTTTAAAACTTTGTCATGCTACCTCACTGTTCTTTGCTTTCTCCTAAGGCCGTGGTCGGCAAACTGCGGCTCGCGAGTCACATGCGGCTCTTTGGCCCCTTGAGTGTGGCTCTTCCTAAGCCTTAGGAGTACCCTAATTAAGTTAATAACAGTGTACCTGCCTATATAGTTTAAGTTTAAAAAATTTGGCTCTCAAAAGAAATTTCAAACATACTGTTGATATTTGGCTCTGTTGACTAAGCCAACCACTGTCCTAAGGATTTACGGTGAGCCTTTCCTAGGGTGTGTTCTTGCTCACTCTGTATCTTTGTTAAAATGTTTGGGCATGGGTTCTGCCTAATCTGCTGTGAGTTTTGGCTGTTTAACAAAAGGAGAGTGAAACAACCCAGATGGATATTGGGATTTCATGTGGTGCCTTTTTAGGCTTTATGGAATAAAGGCTTTTCTTGTTGGAAAGATATGTCCTAATGTTTTTTACTTTTCTCCTGCTATACACAATGCAATGGACACTTTTCATTTTCACCCGCACTATTAACATTCTCTATTGCTTTCAGAACACCAGTCATCTGATCATGCTTATGATAAGCTCTTGCTTTGTAGTCTTCTGCATTTTCCTGGTCTCCTGTCATGGGGGTTCTTGGGTTGGAACAGGTCTCTCAGGAGGACCAGTTGACATCAGGATGGGCAGGGTGTTTTAGAGTCCCAAAGCCAGTGCAGAGGGAAATGGGGGGCAGGGATCAGACTCCTTATACCCCAGGTCAGGCATTTTGGATTTGAATCCCAGATTGCCGAATATCACTGCGACTCACAGGGGAAACGAT